GTTAAACTTTCAGTTTATGACTTTATAGTTCTGCAGGCCGTGAGCAGAGAGCTGGATTGGAAGTAGAACAGATGGGACATTAATCCATGCCTGTATGGGATGCCAGTTCCACAGGTGGCTTAGCCCCTTTAGTTTTTTCGTATGAAACTGTCATCCACCACAATATCATTTTAGAACATTGCATTATCCTTAGATAAAATCCTGTATTATCAGCACTCACAATCCATTTCACCTGGACCTCTAATAATCTAAATTCTCTCTGTGTGATCTTACCTATTTGGGGATTTTACATGAACAGCAGCACACAGTGTGCCGTCTTCCACTGACTTTTAACTTATGGTATGTCAAGGGTCATCTGTTAAACATATGCCAGTGCTTCATCCATATTTCTTATTGTTAAATAACATCCAGTCATATGAATAACCTGCATTTCACTTACCCATTCACTTACTGGTCACCATTTTTACCTATTTCAACTTTTTGCCAATTATGAACACTGCTATTGACATCCATGTATAAAGTTTGATACAGTATGGGGCTCATGTTCTGGTGCTGTGAGCAAAGCCACCACCTGAGAAGCCAGTATCTTGTATGGGCTCTGATTTGTGTCCCAGCTGCTCACTTCTCATGCAGCTTCCTATGAATGGCCTAGGACACATTATGAAAAAATGTCCTGGGCCCGGCACGGTGGCGCAAGTGGTTAAAGGTCCTCGCCTTGCACTCCCGGGATCCCATGTGGGTGCCGGTTCTAATCCTGGCAGCCCTGCTTCCCTTCCAGCTCCCTGCCTGTGGCCTGGGAAAGCAGTCGAGGACAGCCCAAAGCTTTGGGAACCTGCACCCATGTGGGAGACCCGGAAGAGGCTCCTGGCTTCGGATCGGCATAGTATCGGCCCGTTGCGCTCACTTGGGGAGTGAATCATCGGATGGAAGATCTTCCTCTCTGTCTCTCCTCTCTGTATATCCGCCTTTCCAATGAAAAAATAATAAAAATAAATCTTTAAAAAAAAATGTCCTGTGTATGTTTTGTGCCCTTTAGCCCACAAGGGAGACCAAGGTGAAGCTGCTGGCTCCTGGCTTCTACCTGGCCTAACCCAGGACATTGTGGACATCCAGGGAAGGAACTAGCAGCTGGAAGATTCTTTTCTCCAAAGCTGTTCCTCCCTCTCTCTGCAACTCTGACAAGATAAATAAATCTAGACTGAGATAAAGAAAATAGAATCAAGAGTGGAAATAAACTCATAAAATCCCTACATTTATACACAATTGCTTTGACAATTGTGCCATATATAAAATTAAGATGGGTCATAGACCAAATTGTATGACTTAAAGCTATGAAACTCCTGAAGGAAAATACAGGGGCATACATCCTTGTTGGGTAGAGGAGCCAACCGCACTCTCTTCCCTGTGACTAGTCAGTTGCCACAGTACCACTGAGTGAAAAATTGTACTGTCCGGCTATGTCTTTTGGGTTGGGAATTGTAGTTCCTCCAACTGTGCTCTTTCTTAAGGCTGTTTTGGCTATCCTGTGTTCTTTGCCTTTCCATATCATTTTGGGGGAAATCCATCTTTCCATTTATTGGGAATAAAATTGGATGCCCAGTGAAAACTTAAATTTTCATTGCAACTCATCAATGGGAAGTTACACAATCTACTTGTTACACACCCAAACGTGGATAAACAAGGTTGGTTTAAATGTAAACCTACTAAAGGTTTGTATGAAAATCAAGCGAAAAAACATCAATTATAAAATGCTTTTGCTTTTAGTGTCATTTGCAGGTTAAGAGCACTCAATTCCTAACTTTATCTTTCTCTTGTTATCAAATCATATTTCTTGAAAAAGTTCAAGGAAAGCCCACATTATGAAAAAAAATTGTTTTCAAGTTTTTTTTCTGCACCAAATAAATTCATTTTTAAAATTCTATTTCTATGAACCTTTTGAAGTTCCTTCCTACTCCTGTGCAATGGTTTGCTTACTAAACCAGGCTTTAAAAGTAAAATGTAATCCTCTGCCTTCCCAAGTGCACCCGTAGGAGCTGAGTCAGGAGCAGAACAGCTGGGACTCCAACTGGGAAAGTAAGATCACAGGCCTAACCTACTGTGACAAAACACCAGCCCCAGGCATCTGCATTATCTTTAAGGATCCACTGATGGTTTTCATGAAGCCACTCCATTGAGAACAATTTCTGCCTCCTTCAGGTATTCAGTACTGCTCCAAAGGGTGCAGAATGAATTTCATACCTATTCCAGACTTACAGCAGAATCAGCATTTTAACAAGTTTCCTTAGATGATTGGCAGATATCAGAGTCAAAAAAAAAAAAAAAAACAACAACAACCAAAAAACATCGACCAAACATGACTCACATAGGCCCCCAAACACTATCTAAGGTATTGGGCCTTGAGGGGTATTACTCTCAGGTGCCTAAAGCAATGGCACACATCCATTTCCACCATCTCTTCTCCTTTTCAAAGCACTTGCCCACCATCTCTCTGCTATGCTTCTCTGCTGCATAAGAACATATTGGTCTTGTCCTATGCACTGGGCACTCCACTGTTAGTGAATGTTGGGACAGAGCAGTGGAATCACAGACTAGAAAATGGCAATTCCATGAGTTGTCTTGCTTCTAGCTAGCTTCTAACTTGAAATGGTCAACTTCACTAGGATGAAGGAAAGCTTGCCAGGGTCTGGGTATCACTGGGGCAGAGTTATAATAACAGTAATAATGATCATCGCAGCACCATCCCTCTCAGGCTTGTGCTTCTTGCCCAGAGACTGTTTCTAGCTCAGGACGATTGGGCATAAAGAGTGGTTGAGACCATCCATTTTAGCCAAATGGGGCAGGGACTTGAAAAAGTTCCTATGTTATAGCTTTGGTTTTAAACTCTTGACATAGACATAGTTACTATTTGGCCTGTAGAGAAACCTTTAACCTTTGGCCTGCCAATTAGAGCTCTTTTCAGTATATGCCTCTGGACCACAGACTTGCTGTGCCTATGGTGGGATCCTTCACCCTGTCACTTGCTAGAATGACTCTTACTTGTCCCTTCCAGACACAGCATAGGGCACTTTCATAGAAAAGTCGCTTTCACTTCCCAGTCTTGGTGACTCAGCTTTTTGTCTGTTCCCTGGATACACAGGGCCTTGCATTTTAGTTATATTTACTCTGTGTCCACAGTCATGGGTATTCACTTCTGAATGTGCATCAGACTCATCTGGAGGCCTTACTGTACCAAAGGTTGCTATGGCCCTTCCAGAGTTCAGATTTAGCAAGTCTCAGGGACCTTAAGAACTTAACATTTCTATGAATTCCCAGGTGAGGTTAGTCACAGTTTGTGAAGTCAACTCCAGCCACTTCTTGAAATCAAAAGAACATTCCCAATGGTCACATCCCAAGAGGCTCTCTGCTCTTTGTTTTCTGTCTCAGTTTCTTTCTTGTTTCTATCTGTGCTTCTCAAACTTTTTGACCTAAGACTCTTCTATACACTTGTATTTTGTTAGAAACCCTAGCAATCTTTTTTTTTTTGAGTTGGAGTTATCAACATTTATTCTATTAGATATTAAAACAGAAAGAAATTAAAATATTTATTAATGCATTTGCAGAAACTGTAACACATCTATTACATAATAACAAAGATAATATTTCTATGAAAAATAGCCATATTTTCAAAACAATGATGAGTGGCATTACATTGTAATTTTCTCCCCACTATTTTTAACATCTAGCTTAATGGAATACATTTGGCTTCCATATCTTCCACATTCATTTTGGTGTTTCATATTTAGTATGTTGTCTCAATTGAAAGACAAAATCTAGCTGCAGGCACAGATGAAGTTGGAAAATGGAGAAGTATTTTATTATTCTTTTTATATAATTATGGATGTTTTTCTTTGATTTTACACTAAACCTGGCAAATAGTAGTATATTCAAGGTTAGTTACAATGTGAAATCTAAAATGATTATCTGTATGTTTTCCATATTCTGTGTTATTAACATCTATTGCTCTGTCTGAAATGCATCCCTGTATTCATGCATGATTTTATAATATCCTACATGTATCCTATGGAAAATATTGATCTATATGGTGAGGAAGCTGTTCTAAATATTGACATATTTCATTATACAGTAGTTTCAAATCACATTGTTTAGTCCATGTAATTAAAAAGAAAGAGTTTAGTTAGTTAATTATAACCTAAGCAGCTTATCAAAAGTGTTTATATGAAACTAGGTTCATTGTTAACTATGTATGGTGAAAATCATGATTACTAATTCAATTTAATGTCACTGCTTTCTTCTTTCTGTGGGACCAGCAGTTTTCAAAATCATCACCTTGAGATTTCAGAATTGTCAACACGATGAGCAAGGTCAATAAATTGTTAATAGTGCTATGAAAATAGTTTTGACTTCATAGATCCCCGAAAGTGATCCAGGAACTCCTAAGTCTCTATAAAGTAGAGCCACTAAAGGCAATGTTTGGAATTTTTACTTACATGTTTGCATTAAGGATGTCTCCCAGTTGGGATAGTGGCAATCATGTTTAATTTCCATGGAACCTCTGTTTTGCATCTAGTGTAAAGGTTTCTTATGGATTATCTTATATCTTTACAATGACGCTGGCTGTTAATATCCATTCTACAGATGAGAAATATAAAGTGAAACACACTTAAGGCAACATTACCAGAATTTTGAGGTAGAAGTACTAACCAGCACTGGAAGGTCATTTGAGGTCAGAGAGTAGAGTGCCAGAATCTGAGCAGACGGTGTACTTCTATACTTAGTGGGAGCCATGCATGAATAATTATTGGGTATGGAACTGGCAAGCACTAATTATATTAGCCAAGATCCTTGTGTACAGTTAGCAGAACACATGCTAAGGCAATACTAGATGCAAATTAATGAAATAGGAAAAAAAATCAGTGATTCAGAAGTTTATAGACTCACTAATAATAAAAGGTCATATAGAATTTTCTAGATGCATGTGTTCTCCACAGCTGCTGTCTGCCATGGAATTGAACAAAATGTTGGACATGACAAAGCTCCACCAAGCTGTGGCTGCAGGGGACTATCACTTAGTGAACAAGATTTTGAAGAAGGGTCTTTGTGATCCAAACTACAAGGATATAGACTGGAATGATCGGACTCCACTGCACTGGGCTGCAATCAAAGGTAAGTGGGTGATGTTTAGAGGGAGCTGTGCTTTTGAGTCCAACGTTTATTATGTGAGGACACAGTCAGTACAGTGTGCACAGAAGGAGAAACAAGGACATTTTTTCCAGAGTCAAGTAAAATATTTCTCTTATTTAAAAAAAAATTATTGAGTTATTTCGAAGTCAGAGTTTCAGAGAGAGAGGAATACATGCACACACACACACACACACACACACACACACACACACACATGTTCCAGAGAGATCTTCTATACACTGATTCACTCCCCAGATGGTCACAATGTCCATGCTATGCTAACCTGAATCCAGGAGCCATGAGCTTCTTCCAGGTTTCCCACTTGGGATATTCTCCCACTTGGGGCAGGGGATGATGGACCTGGGATAACTTCCTCTTCTTTTCCCAGACCATTGGCAAGGAGCTGGATTGGAAGCAGAGCAGCCAGGACACAAACTAGCAGTCATATGGGATGCCTGCATTGCATGCGGTATCTTCCTCCATTAGGCCACAACACCAGTTCCCAGGTGGAAAATTTCAATTCAGTACTATTTGCCACTTGTAGCATGTTAAGCACATCATGAACCAAGATATCTCTATTCATCTATATTACACAAATGATAACAGTATCTTGGAGTTCTGTGGTGGGCATGCAGTAACATATTGGATGTAGATGCCTAGTGTATAGTCTGCTCTCAGTATTAGTTCTTGTGGATGAAACCTGATTCAGCCATTAAGGCACTTCTTGGTACACCTGTGTTACATGCAGAATGCCTCAGTTCTAGTCCTGGCTCTATTGTCAATTCTAAGCTTCCTGCTAACAGACACCCTGGGAGGCAACAGGTGATGGCACAAGTACATAAGCCTAAGCCTGGCTATTTTTGGACATATGAGAAGTGAATTCACAGATGGGTAGTAAGCCATCTTTTACTGAGTATTTTCTATGTGCTGTGTGCTTCAAAACTGTCTTTGTTATTTCACCTGAAGTCCACAAGAATTCGGTGTGGCAAGGAGAATTATCTCAAATGTTAAAGGAAGATATTGGGTCTCACACATTTGTTTCTTATCCAAGATGTCACATGTTAGCAAACGGTGTTTCCAGGATATGAACCCACATCTATGTGATTATAAGACTTGTTTTCTTATGCTGTGTTAGTTATAATTACAAGTGAAATTTGACATGTTGGTTCTAGGAAATCACATTGAGATGACTGAAAATAGGGTAAATCTTACCATGCACAGCTACTCTATTATTTGGGAGAAAGCAAGAATTCCAGGCAAGGCCAAGCATAATTGCTTTTTTCTTTTCTTAAGGCAGATTTACAGAGAGAAAGAGAGACAGAAAGATCTTCCATTTGCTGGTTCACTCCCCAAATGGGCTGTTTCATTCCCCAAATGGCTGCAACAGCCAGAGCTGAGCTGATCCTATGTCAGGAGCCAGGGTCTTCTTCTGGGTCTCTCTGGTGGCTGCAGGATCCCAAGGCCTTGTGCCATCCTCCACTGCTTCCCTAGGCCATAAGCGGGGAGCTGGATATAAAGTAGAGCTTCTGGGACATGAACTGGCACCCATATGGGATCCTGGCACTTGCAAGATGAGGATTAGCCAATTGAGCCATCAGCATCAGGTTCAAGACCAAGCATAATTGGAAAGGAAGGAGCTACATCCTGGAAAAAGTGTAAGGAGTCCTTGGAATGTTCAGGTACCAGGTGTGATAAGGTTCATTTGGTGAGGGTAGGGCACCAAGTCCCTGGTCAGAAGAGGGAGAAGAAAGGAGGGAATGATGATAAATGTCGTGATGACAAATATCTTTCCTCTTGGTGTGCTATCTATATTGCTGCTGTCTCAGGCCACCAGCGGCACTTTCATCTCAACTTCATTCTATTTCTTCCTGGTGTCTCTAAGGGCAAATGGAGGTAATGCACATCCTGCTAGAATATGGAGCCAGACCCTGCCTGGTGACAGATGTGGGCTGGACCCCAGCTCACTTTGCAGCTGAGTCAGGCCATCTGAATGTACTGAAAACTCTGCACGCCCTGCACGCCGCCATCGATGCTCCCGATTTCTTTGGAGACACCCCAAGAAGGATCGCACAGATCTATGGGCAGAAAGCCTGTGTGGCATTCCTGGAGAAGTAAGTCAGTTTTGCTTCCAGCTGGAGAGAGGGCATTGAGCCAGAACTTAGGACCAAGATCTTTGCCATCTCAAAGGTCTCATGTCAATTATAAAAGAAAATACAGTAAACTGTTGCTTCTATTGATTTTTTATTTTAAATCAATTTATAATTTTTAAATATTTATTGAAATGATTGGGTTTGGGCAAAAACGATTTAAACAATAATTGCCTCAGATAAGTGAATTGGGACGTTAAGTTTGAAGGTAGGATGTGGTACAGGACCCATGACAACATGCAGTCTTCTGAAAGGAATGAGCCATGTAACTTGTCCAAGTTAAGTCACCTTCCTGGCTCTTGGTTTCCTCATATCTAAACTAAAGCAGGTGAGTTTGATTTCCATTCTATCCTTATATCTTTTAACATTTCTCTGTTTAGCTGTGCATTCCCCAGGCATAAAAAGTTACAACATTAAAGCTTGTTGAACATGTGTTAATTTCTTTTTCACTATCCAAGCATTCAGACACAACTAAGGACCAATTATGTACGTAACAATTACAACTCTGAGAGAAATAGAAACAATGTTTAAGAATTTATAGTTTGATTGGGACAACATGCAATTCATACCAGGCATAGTAATGACAACATTGCTTGGAAACCACAATGAGAGGGTGAACAAATCTGTGGTGGCAGTGGATGAGAAGGTGGGTGACAACAATGAAATGCTTGGAAATATTACTGAAAAATAGTTAACCTGGTAAAACCTCCACTTAAGACAAGATTAGTTATCTGTAGAGGTAAACCAGGGGACTCATTTTTTTTAAATAAACATATGTTTCTTTTCTAAATGTGTTCTCCTTCAGTTTGAAAGACAGACAGATACAGAGAAACATTCCATCCACTCCTTCACTCCCTCATCTCCCACAACAGCCAGTATGGGTCAGGCTTACGCCAGGAATCAGAGACTCAGTGCACATCTCACACAAAAGTGGCAGGGACTTGAGCACTGGAGCCATCACCTGCTTCCTCCCAGGGTGCCCCGAACTAAGCAGGTTGTTAAAGCAGAAGCCAAACTGGGACTCAAACCAGGGCACAACCATATGGGAAATAGGTGCCCTATACCACGTCTTGACCATTGTACCCAATGCCCAGCCTGCTTAGAGGAGAGATGCTTGATTTTAAACATATTCAAAAGCACAGTGGAGTTGATTTGGAGAGTACAGATACAGATCCTTGAATCGTGCCACACAGACTCTCTTCTCCCAGGACTCAACAACTCCCATGCGTGGAGGATCTCAGCACCATCAAACAACCTTCTCGGACATGCCACTATGTTGACATAGTTCCCTTCTCTTTATCAGCTTCTTTAACACCGCGCAAGTCTCTGAACTACATTATGATCCTTTTTTACTTAACTTCTTTATCTTCCAATCTACCATCAGTCACAGATTTCATTCATTCCGCTTGCCATCTGGATGCCACAATATATTACTTCTATTCCCTTTGCATGAATTTCAAATTCTTTGCCTTTCTGGAGTACAAATCTCAGAATTTCCATCTTTGGATGAACATCTCTCTGTTCACTGAGAAAATTCCACCAATAAGTGGGAATCATCCGTTTTAGGATTTCCACCTGAGGCTCAGGCCTCAGAGGAGCGTGGCCATCTCTTGCTGCCCACTTCACTCTCGGACCAATCCATATCCCTGTTACATGTCAACTTGCCTCCCAGAGGTACACTTTCTACTTCAGAGACAGCATTGAACCTTTGGGGGCCAGTTTTCAATCTCATCACCTGTCTGCTTTGTAGCCATCACCTCAGTTCCTTTTTGGCTTCTGCCTTTCTCCTGTGAAACGTGTCACCCCACCACATAGACCTTAAAGACAATCTTTGTGTTCTACATAATCATGGTTTTTGTACTATGCTGTATTTGAACTCCTTCTCATCATGTTCGTTTTTGGCCTTCAGATGTTCTCTAATAGATCTTATTAAGTAAATAAGCAAAAACATAGAAATCCCTCTCCCTTTTTTTCCCTTCCTCTTCCCAACCCTGCTAAACCAACTGGAAGTTAATCAACACCTTTGGATGAATTTTCTCACCTCTTATGTACTCTGCAAATGTCTTCTCATCCTCGTACTAAATGTCTTCTCACTAGTTTATGGTGTTAAGCCATTCCTGTTTCCTAAGCCAATGGCATCTTCTCAATGCAATCTTCCCTCCACCTAATTCAGCGCTTTTATGGTTCTGGGACTGTTCATTGCTTTCTCTGGTGCTACTCTTTTCTGTAATTTTTTTTTCCTAACTCTCTGATCATTTCTCAGAATTTTTATATGAAAAAAAAATCTCATTATCTTTGTATGCCTTTTATATACTAAATCCCACAGGGTGCAGTCCTTGGTTCTTGTCTACTGATTTTTTTCCCAAGTAATTGCAGGGCCCTCCCTCATAAACACTGGATGGATGAATGTGACATATGGCCCCAGCACAACTGTTTTCAAACAGCGAGGCATGCTATTGCCTGGAAGAGTGAGCAGACAATGTGAGCACACAAAAAAAACAAAGGCCAATCACATGGTTTGTGAGTCATCAAGCACTGGTCAGCATTTTCCCCTAGGATCTCCCTTCTGACAGAAGCTAGAGCGAAGAAATCCTGGAGAAAAAGGGGTTTCCATCTGAATCCTGAAAGAAAGATAACAGCTTGTTTATGGAGAAGAGAGGAAAAATATTGCTTTGTAGTAATATGTGCACAGGCTGTGCGTCTGCACGAGGAAGGCAAAGGATGAGCGGCCCGGCTAAGTCAAGCACTCAGGGTAGGGAAGAGTGGAGGATGAGGTCAGGGTGAGGATGGGTCCCTGTCACAAGTCAAGCAAGCACATGAGTGTGAATGTGAACTCTTTGGAGGATTGACATGCTGAAATAGATGTGTTAGCACACTTTCTCAAGTACTGGAGGAGGGGCAGTGGTGCTGAGCATGTGGGATTAAGGTATTTCAACTCCAGTTTAGGCAGTCATTTACCCAGTTTCATAATAGTTCATATGGTGGAGAGGTGAATTTCTGAGCTAGAATGATGAGCAAAAAAAAAAAAAAAAAAATCATTAGAGAACTGGAAAAAAAAGTTAGACATTATTTGATCATTTTTAGAATATCCTAGGCTCTATTGTGAAACAATTGAACTTCTAATTCAGTTTAATACTTGCATCCAACAAGCATTTTGGGGTCCTACTGTGTGCATGGCATTAGGCTGGGCATAAAGAGTATCTGGAAAAATCAGATCCAGGGCTGCACACCAGGAAGTTCCCGTCTGGCATGAAGATGAACTTTTGTGCGTAAAATGCACTAACCCCAGACTGAAGGGGCAGAGGACAGACCCTGCTCTGTCGTCAGAAGACCGTAAGATCCCGGTGAGCTGGAGTGGGTTTATGGCCAGTGAGGGCAGCCTCACTATCCTCTGAGTGGTCCGTACTGTGTGGCTCAGCTGGCACATAGTGTGCTCGTTTCCTGCGTCACCATCTGCCCTCTGAGATTCTATTTTTCCACCCTGGATTGAGTTTTCTGTGTAGGGGCTTTCGCGGTTGTGTTTAAGCAAGTTGGATCCTCATCTTCGGCCTCATGTGCAAAACCATACATCCCAGGGCTTCCCAATGTTCATGTGTGCCTGACGATCTATTGATCTGTCTTGGAGTCCCTCTATGCCTCGTCCATCATCCAACTGTGACTACCCAGTTTTATATTATCACTCCATTCCAATGTGATTATGAGAGATTTTTAATTTTCTTCCTTATAGTTTCTGCACTTTTAAATTTTATAGAGAACATATATTACCGTTATTAGGGAAAAAATATAATTAAAAGTGAATGAAAGAAAACAGTCTTCCAATGACACCAAGTTATAGTGTAACAACAAGCAGCACCTTCTGCCACCTAAGCCTTTAAGCCTAGTAAAACCGGGTGACCTCACAGCGTTGCTCGCAGTGTCTGCAGCTCCTCTGAATGTACCCTTTGGAAATGTGCACAGGGAGTCCCTGCTTTCTCATGGGGATTCCGGGGGGCGCGCACAGCGTGCAGAGGTAAAGAGCGCAGGAGACTAAGCAGACACCAGCACCCGTTCCAAAGCCCGCACGCGCAGCCTCCCGGAAACGCTGTCTGTGTTGCTCAGAATCCCTCTCCATTTTTCCAGGGCCGAGCCCGAGTGCAAGGACTACCGCCTCGCCGCCCGCCAGAAGGGGCTGCTGCTGGAGGACCGGGACCCAGACTGGGACGCCAAGAAAAGGGAACTGGAGCTGAGTCTTCCTTCTCGGAATCAGAACACTAGGAAACAGGAGAAGAAAAGCCGGGGCCCTCTCAGGCTCAGCAAGCCCTGGGAGAAAAGAGTGTAAGGTGCCCCACCGGTGGGGCTAGAGATTTTCTGGAAGGCACTGTTTGTGTGGTACTGCCTTTTCTCAGCAGTCTCCTGCCGCCAAATCCGCAACGTGGTTTCAAAGCGCTGCCTGGTCTTGCCCTCTGCTGCTGGCTGTTGTCAAAAAGAATGGTTCCCAGGATGACTGCTGGTGCTTGCATTTCATCCTGGATGACTTGCATTGCCATCATCTTCTGACAATACTCTCCCATCCTCAACTCACACACACACACACACACACACACACACACACACACACACACACACACACCCCTGTGAACACATACGTACAAGTTTTAAAGGGTAAAGGAAAAGTTCTCAAACATTTGTCATTCAGACAAGTGAAGAGATGAATGACTGCATCTCAGTCTCTAGCTATTCCTTCCTTTCTGGGGTGGGCACCCCGCTAACCCAACATGGCGCTTGTGCACGGGGAACAGTGAGGGCAGTGTACACCAGCCCAGTGAGCAGTGACTGAAATGCTGACACGAATTCACCTATTCCACAACACTGATGAGAGACGAGGTAAAACAATGGAATATAGGACTGTAGGCCTACTTCTTCCATTTGTGAGTCCCAGAAGAATGATCTACAAAGCAGGGACTTCCACTAAATATACAGCATCCACACTGAGAGATGTGAAATTTTACATCTTACTGAGATGTAAAATGAATGTGGGATTTGAAGACTTGTATAAAAATGTAAGGTCTCATTAACAGAATTTCATATTCATCACTTGTTGAAATGCTATTTTAGATATTAGGCTAAATAAAATATCAGGATAAAATTTGAATCTCTTTCCTCTTATTTTTTTCAAGCATGTCACTACAAAAATTCTGAAAATTACCTGTATGATTTACATTTGATTTCTCTTTGATGTTTCTCCTGTGGAAGTCAGACAACATAGCGACCCCTAACTTGAAGACTACCTACTTGATTTATTAATTTCTTGGCCTAGTTCAATGTTTCTGGTGACCAAACATCTATAACAAATCCTTCAGCTAGCTTGTGTTAGGATAGGTCATGTTGAGTTTGAGCTCACTGAAATGAAAAGGAAATGCACTAATATCTTTTAGGCAAGCTGGTGGCTGTGGGGTTTGCCTTTCTACCTCTGAGCATCAGTGCCCTTTTTAAAATCCTGCAATTCACCCAGTAGTTCCTGCTTGCCATGTTTTACTGGCAGGCAGCACACTCATTGAGAGACCCCTGATTCAAACTGCACAGATAAAATTCCTCTTTTGGGAAGTACTGCCCTGTAGCCCATCTGGGAGGCCTTCATTGAGTTCTTGGTTCCTGTCCTCATCAAGGCCCAGCCCTGGCTGTTGGGAACATTTGGGAAGTAAAGCAAAGGACGAAGTGCCCACTTTTTCTCCCTCGCTTTTCTCTTTTGTTCTGTCTTTAAAATAAGTTAAATAATCTTTAACAAAATTCTTCTGGAAACTTCATGATAAGTTATAGCAATGGCATACATTTTCAGACATATGGAGCAACTAATTCTGCAGTAAGGTTGGGGAAATAAAGAAAAGGTGTTCTACAGAGAGGTAGACAAGATGGAAGCAAAAATAAAATGAGACGACAGGAGCAGGAGAGAGAGAAAAATCTCTAGTTCCTAGCTCTGCGTTTCTTACTCAGAAATCTGTGAAACTGTATCTTCATAATAAAAGTTCCCCTTTACTTATAATATGCTTAATGAGTTCTTTTCCTGGCAACCAGACTTTTCTAGTAATGTAATATCTGAAGATCATGGGCACATGAGTCAAACTACATAGATCTGAATCCTCTCTAAGTATTAAGCGTCTGTGTCTGCGCTTACCAGGAAACAGATGTGATGGGGCAGTGTGTGCAAAATGCTTACGCTGACTTGTGACCGGTCCATGCAGTGGTTACTGTAGTGCTAAAGAAGTGACCTGTTTCCCTCAGGAGTAATCCCTTTTACAGGTCAAATGAGGCCATTCATTGTTCAGCCAATAAATATTTCTTGCTTAGTTTTACGGCCTTTGTCATGTGTGTATGAAATGCAGACCTGGAACTGATTGATACGTAAGGCGTCTTGGAGGATAGCCTTGCTACGCTCATAACCCCAGAACCTCCCAGTGCCCTAACATGCTCTCCTTCCATACTGTTCTTCAAGTGTTGAGAGATCCATGTCCCTACCAGAAATGCTTAGAACAAGAAAAGCACACAAAAATAGCTTTCCTGTGTGAGGAACTTAGTACAATGTGGAACTAAGTGTTTTGCACAAATGCTGTCTCACAGGAGTGGTGCATCTGCAAGGCAGGTGTCTTCATATCTGTTCAACATCACAAACTGAACTCCTAGGCAGTCTGAAAACTTGCCCTGGAGCACCTGGTTGATATGCGTGCCTTCTTTAAAGAATGCCTGGGCTTGGGTTTGGATGGAACACAAACCCTTCAAGCTTTGTCTGTAGTGTTGAGCAGGCTTTGGCATCAGTAAACTTGGAGTGACACCAGTGGCTTTGAGATAGGCTTGTGATGCAGACTGAGATAACACATGGGAAGGACCTAGTACGGTGTCCTACTTATGATCAGCACACACGAAATGCTACTTGTTCTTTACAGTTGTTATTTTTTGACACCTTGAGCGTCACAGCCATGTCACCAACAAGAACAGCTTGTTAAGCATCTGTCCAGAGGGAGAATTTGGGGGGACAGTGTTCTCTGCACTCCCCTAATCTCTTGCTCCCGAGGATGAACACTCACTGAGAAACCTCACTACTGAGATACCTTCATAGTACCTGGGGGGCCCATTCTTCACAAGGTCTGAGAGAGACCACAGATGGACCATGTGTATCCACCCTGCCGTGTTGCCAGGCCCGTTCATAGGGCCCATCTAAGGATTGACACCAGTGGGAAGGTAGAGTAGCCTTTGCACTGTTCATCCGTTTTCACATTGGGAACAATTAACTTTTCATGGCATGCAGGAAGCAGAGATGCCAGCCTCATGTTATGGAAAGGACAGTGGAAAAGAGAAAGGCCAAGTTTGTATCTAATGCTGATACTATATATCAGACTGGGGCCCTTACTTAATGACCAGGAAAGTTGATGTTGTTTCTGATTTGTTCACACCAGGCATACAGTCTAGATTTTTAGGTTAAAATGTTCTCACTTATTTGAATTATTATTTTTGAAGTTCTGCCAAGCACTGAACTCAGTAATGAAATGACAAGTAATGAGTCACTCTCAGAATATGGCATGGGCCATATTTATGGAGGGCGTTGTATTCATTTTCGGCTATTTATTGCCTAGAAGTATAATTATAAAAGTTGGTCGAAAGAAAATGTGGCCCCAGGGCCCAGCACAGTAGCTTTGCGGCTAAAGTCCTCGGCTTGAACGTACCAGGATCCAATATGATTGCCAGTTCTAATCCTGGAAGCCCCAGTTCCCATCCAGCTCCCTGCTTGTGGCCTGGGAAAGCAGTCAAGGATGACCCAAAGACCTTGAAACCATGCACCCACATGGGAAACCCAGAAGATACTCTGGGCTCCTGGCTTGGATCGTCTCAGCTCTAGCTGTTGCGGCTGCTTGAGCAGTGAATAATCAGACAGATCTTCTCCCCTGTCTCTCCTCTTATCTGCATATTTGACTTTCCAATAAAACTAAATAAATCTTTAAAAAAGAAAGAAAGAAAATGAGATCCCCGGCTGCAGACAGCTGCCCAGGTTGCCTCTATCTAGGCAAGTGTTACTCTGCTGGGAGAAAAGCAGTCAGTATCTAGCAGGTATTCTGGACCTGGTTAATGCCAAATTGTGTTAACTGTGTTAACCAGTGCACCAGCATAGTTGCCTATTCTATTCTTATTTTTTTTAAGATATGTGGGGAAGTTGGAGAAAGGTGAGCCAGATCACACCACCCTGGTCCCAAGGCAGGAGGCTGCAGATTACCTTTGAAAGGGTAGCTAGGGACAAGCTGGAGTGGGAGCAACTAAGGACATGTTTTATAAGGGAGAAATGACAACTTCTGGGGGCACCCATGAGCCAGACCATGGCACTCACAAGTAGGCAAGGAAGCTTAGATGATTTAGAGGCGGTAACCAGAGGGCATACCTGGGTCAGGGCAAGGTAGCCACCCACATGTTAGACCTGGACTGAGGTAAGTGGACTCACTGCCTGTTGACACACATGAAAGCTGTGGCTTGGGTGCATGCCTGGTTCGGTGAGGCCACAATAGCTGTAGGTGACTAAAAGGGCAGGTGATGGGTCACATTAGTCTGTGCTGCAGCATCTACCAGATTGCAGTGGAACTGGATCTGGGGGCAGATTCTGTAGGGGACTTGTGGTCTCACCTCTGTGTGGCTATAGCATTTACCAGTTCACTTGAGAGCTGGGGGTAGTGATGGGCCAAGCTAGGCTAGACCATGGAACTCACCCTCATTCTCACAGGAGTCAGGGCTGAGTTGGGCTGAGTCAGGCTGCAGCACCAGCCAATTTGTGTAGAGCTTGGGGTGGTGAGGGCCAAGCCAGGTTGGATTGCAGAATTCACATGACACTCTCTAGAGCTGGGACTGGGAGAAAGCCAGCCTGAAGCACTGGTGGGCACTTACAAATGCTAGGACTGAGGACAGACTATGCCAAGAAGACCCATGGCACCTGCCAGCACAAGATCTGGTGCTAGAAGTGGGCCTGGTAGAAGAACTCAGGGAATTTTCCCTTGCTGGGTGGCAGCTCCTGTTGGCGAACACAAGAGCTGGGTCTAGAGATAGACCAGGCCAGGCAAGGCTACAACACTTCTCAGGATCTGTGTGGGTCAGGTCGGGGGACAGCCCAAGCTGGGCCAGGCTGCAGCACCCACTGGCATACATGAGAGCCAGGACAGGATGTGGGCTGTGCCTAGTTTGGCTTGGCTGAAACATATGCCAGTGAGAGTTGAGACTACCAGGCCAGGTTGAAGCACCTGCTAGCATACGCAACATCTGGGCTGGGAATGGGTCAGGTAAGGGAGTTCTGGGAACTCCCCTGATAGG